CCTGCTTTTTAAAAAACCAGATTGCTAGTAATTCTGGATGAAAGTGTAAGACTCTTTTGCCAGAATTGGTGGATAACTGGGTAGGGGTGATCTCTCAAATAATCTTCCTATGCCATGAAGGACTTCAAAAGTCCTACTGAACACTGTGAATTTGATTTGAAAGCAAATTGCAATCAATGGAACACATAACTGCCCATGCCACTGCCTTTTGCCCAAGCCGAAGCTTCAAAATCCTCTTCAAAAGCAATTCCACATGGAATACATCCCAGTAATCTTTTAGGAGTGTTTAGAGCATGAGTAACTGAGAATAGGACCTCTCCATCAAATAATGAATCCAACCGGTACATAGCAGGAAACTCTGCAAAGGCCATCTAGTTGTGATCTCTTGTTCCTAATGAACATTGACCAGAGCTGACCTCAGAAGAAAGAAATGAACCAGATCAATACAATGCCATTAATTTCCAACCCTGAAGTGGTCCAGAAGGAAACAAAAGTTATCCAAAATCATAACCAATGCCATTTCAATTCCATAATTATTCCTAAATTCTTACTGGAAATGGTTCAGATAATCCATTTCATGCAGAATTTTCTGTTCTATAAGTACTTTTTGTACAATATTTCTAAGAAAGGGAAGGATGAATACAGATGAAAATTGTCCAGGGTTCAGTGATAGTTTATTCAGAAGAAGTGAAGCAATGCCTTGTTTCTCTCAAGAATGAATGTCAGAACCACTCATCCATCAGCTTTGGCCAGTCTCACCAACTAGAAGGGGCATGGATCTAATGAGCAGGTGGCTAGGTTTACAATTATAAGGATTTTGCCCACTTCCTCAAGCCCAACAGGTTCAAAACATCATCATAAAACCACACAAGACCTTTCCCAAGGCATGAGTACAGGCTCTATATGAACACCAGTGTCCAACTGAGTTTTGTTTGGTATATTTGTCCAAAAACGATTTAAGGAAAGCAAAGAGAATATTGAATATTCCTTGGGGATAGGAGATGTTTTGGCAACCAATCTTTGCAAATGGTCACATTTCCCATGACATGTAGTTTGTGAATGGATAAATTCTGTTAGGTAGCTAGTTTATGTCCACAATACTTTTTTCAAAACTCCAGTTGGCCTCTCCAAAATTTGGACTACTGGTCAATGCATAGTACCGAATATTTGTATATTTAGGTTTGTGTATTCAATCTATAGCCTGAATGAATAGTTGATACAAATGACTTATAGCAATTTGTTGCAAACAGCTTTTCTGAAAATAGAATGTTATAGGATGAAAATCAATGAGTTCTGGTCCTAGTTCACTTTTCAGGCTTTTATCTTCTTCCTTCTTGTGTATATACAGTATGTAGAAAGGCGACACTATCCTCAAGAATGTTTCCTGATATGACCAGTGGCCACATTTTTCTTCCTTCCTTCCTTAGATTATGTCTTTAATTTCTTTAAAAAACAGTAATATTTGCAACTGCCTTATTTGCATATTCTACATTCACACATTATATATGCACCTTTTGAGAATAAAACCTGTCACAGTTTAAGAAATGTGCATTTTATCATGCTTAGAATTCTAGAGTCTATAAGTTTGGGATGTTTGTATATTTATACAAAAAGTCTGACCCAAAGAATTATTAAAGAACTCCTAAAGATGACACCTTGGAAATAGAATAGAATATTTTATTGTCATTGCATTCCACAAATACAATGAAATTTGAAAGCTACTCCAGTACAGTGCCCAAAACACCACATCACAATCACACTACAGAGTA